GTTTCCCAACCTCTGTAAAATTCTAGCTGAGATTTTGACAGAAATTACATTTAATCTGTAAATCAATGTAAGAATGTTACCGTATTAACAATCAGATGCATGAACATGAGATCAGTTTCCCTAGACCTTTGATTTTTTTCAATAATGTTTTGTAATTTTAATAGATATTTTGCATTTCCTTTGTTTAATTTATTCCTAAGGGTTTTTTTCTTCTTTCTGATGTTATTATAAATGGAATTGTTCACTTAATTTCTTTTTTAGGTCATTCATGGCCAATTATAGAAATAAAACTGATTTATTTTAGAAATATAATTGATTTTTATTATTGATCTTGCCATCCTGAAATCTTGCTGAATTTGTTTGTTAACCTTGATAGTTTTTTAGGGGATTTGGGGGAAATTTTCTACACAAAAGATCATGTCATGTGCAAATAAAGATAGTTTTACTTCTTTCTTTTCATTATGGATGTTTTTTATTTCTCTTTCTTGCCTGATTGTCCTGGCTAGAACTTCCAGTGCAATGTTGAATATAAGTGGCACAAGTAGACATCCTTGCTTTGGCATAGGGTGCTAGGGTTGGCCCCCTGAAGTTCATGTTGATGCTTGATTCTCAAAACTGCTAAGAGATGAGGCCGTTAGGAGGTGATCAGGCCATGAGGGCTCCTCCCTCATAGATGGGATAAGGGCTGGAAGGAACTAAGTAACCCCTTTTTTGCTTTTCTATCCCTTCCACTCTGTGAGGAAGTGGCATTTCTCCCCACTGGAGGAGAAAGCAACAAGGTGCCATATTGGAAGTCCTCACCAGTGCCTTGATCTTGGGCTCCGTCAGGAACTGTGAGAAATAAATTTCTATTTGCAAATTACCCAGTCTGTGGTATTTTGTTATAGCAGCATGAACTGACTAAGACATGGGGGAAAATATTCATCTTTCACCTTAAGAATAATATTTGCTGTAAGTATTTCATAGATTTCCATGATCTATATTGAGATGTTCTTTCATGAAAGGATGCAGCAATTTGCCAAAGAATTTTTTGAGTTTTAAGATGATCATCTGGTTTTGTCTTTTTCTGTCAGTATGGTGTATTACATTGATTTTCAGATGTTATACTTTATTTCTAGGCTAAATCATACTTGATTGTGGTGTATAATCCTTTCAATATGCTCTTAGATTCAGTTTGCTATTATTTCCTTAAGGATTTTTACATCTATATTCATAAGTGATGTGGGTCTATAGCATCTTGTAATGTTTTCTATTCTTGTGATATCTTTGTCCAATTTTAGCATCAGGGTAATAGAGACTTCAAGGAATGAATTGGGATTCTTATCTTCTGTTTTGGGGAACAGTTTTTAAAGGAGTTGCATTTATTTTCTTTAAATGTTTGGTAGAGTTTATTGATGACATCGTCTAGGTCTAAACTTTCATTTGAGGGAAGTTATAAAATCATTCATTTAATTTTTTCACTTGTTATACATCTATTTCAATTTTGTATACTTTATTAAGTCAGCTTTGGCAGTTTGTACCTTTCTAGAAATTTGTCCATATCTAGCACTCCTTGTTGTTGTTGTTTTTTTTTTTTTTTTTTTTGGGGGGGGGTGTTGAATTATTCTCTGATGTAACTCACTTTCTTCCTACAGAATGCCTGTTCGTATTTCTTTATATCTAGGTACACTAGCAGTTAATTCTTTCAATTTTTGTTGTCTGGGAATATATTCTATCTTCATTTTTGAGAGGTAGCTTTTACTAGATATAAAATTCTTGGTTAACACTACCACCTCTGGCCTCTGTTATTGCTGATTCAGAAATCATTAATTCTCCAGAATGTTTTTGGTACATGGTGAGTCATTTTTCTTTTGTTATATTCAATATTTTCTCTCTGTCTTCATCTATATTTGACAATTTTGAATATATCAAATGTTTGAGTATGGATCTCTTTGTGTTTACCTTACTTGGAGTTCTTTAAATTCTTAGGTGTGTAGGTTAATGTTTTTCATTAAATTTTAGAAGTTTTCACCCATTACTTTTTTGACTACTTCCTGCTCTTACCTGTGTCCTCTCCATCTGGTACTTCTACTGTGGATATTTCAATGTGCTTACATGTCTCCCATGTTTCCCAAAGATTTTGTTCATTTTTCTTTGTACGTTTTCTTTATATGAAAATTGTATGAATTTCTTTGATCTATAGTCAAGTTCACTGGTTGTGTCTTCTGTTAGCTCAAACCTACCATTGAGCCCTCAAGTGAATTTACTGCTTGAGTTCCCATACTATTCAACTTCAGAATTTAGTTCTTTTGTAATTCTTTCTTTTTAATAATATTCTCTTATTCGGTGAGACACCATCCTCATACTCTCCTCTAGTTCTTTAGATACAGTTTTCTTTTATTCTTTAAATATATTTATAATAGCTGCTTTAAGATCATGTGTGCTAAGTCCAACATCTGGGCTTCCTCAAAGGCAGGTTCTGTCACATCTCCTGTGTAAGGGTCACACTTTCCTTTTTCTTTTCCTGTCTCAGAATTTTTGTTGAAAACAGGTCTTTTTAGATAATACATTGAAAAAATTATGGATATTGATGACCCAGTTCTTGTTGCTGTTGTTTGTTTATTTGTTTTACTGACTTGACTGGGCTATTTATTTCCCTTGCAGTGTGCAGCTACTGATAATCACTCCTTGGACGTCACAATCGTGGGCATATGCGTAGTCACTCTAAGCCCCATTCTTCCCCCCACAATGGTATTAGCCAGGCTCTATTTGACTGTCTGTGTCCCTGATCTCTTCATTAAGCTTCTGGTTATTTTGTCTTTATCGATATCACACACAACTATTAACCTTCACCAACTGCTAACTGACTGATGCACTGTTTTGTTTTTGTTCTGTGATGCTAGGGATTGAACCAGGGCCCCCCAGCATTCTAGACAAGTGCTTTACCACTGTGCTATCTCCTAGCACCTAGTGTGCTGTTTTTGATAATGCCCTGGGATATAACTTGCTCTGCAGTCTGATTCAATAAAATTCTGGACCTTTCACAAGGACAGAGTAACACTAATATTTGGAGACTACTCAGACCTCAGAAGGACCCTTAGCTGTCTTTGACTCTGATTCTTTCTGTTAAACTTCTAGTTGGTTTTATCATTTATTTGGATTATTGCTTCTAGAATCATGGAACTATTGCCCTGCTCTTAAATGCTCAGCCAAGTTCTCTATTATTTTTGACAATGCCCTTAGGCATGAAGTTCTTAATGCTTATTTCAGATGAAGTTAGTTCCTGTGGGGAGAGCTATGGAGCTCTCTCTTCTACCTCTTCCTCTGGCCAGACCATTGTACCAATGTACCCTAATAGGGGTAGGGACCCTTGGCCTCCTTCTCTCAGAGTGACATTCCAGACCTAGAAACAGGCACTAGATAGGAATGGTGCACCCTAGTCTTCTTAGCTTACCACATTCAGTATGGAATCTCTACCTTATAAACAGGTAGGGAAAGGAGACATTAGATGCAGTATTCTTAGCCTACTGTAACTGGGACAGAACTTCTGCCCAAAGAGTAGGGGCTGAATGTGGGAAGAGAGCCCCAATCATCTTGGCTGCAACACAGAGTTGAAAGGGATAGGAGATGCCAGTGGATTGCCTCTCAGACATAGCCATGGACTAGGGCCGTGGAAACCCCATCTTCTTGATAGGAAAACTTAGGTCACACTGAGGTAGTAAGGAACACAAGCGAGTTGTGGCTCGGATACCAAGTTTTAGTAGACTTTCTTGAATAAATATTTTTCCATTTGTTGTATTGACCTTGGAACAATTTCCAGAGACTTTAAATTGTTTTTGTTTTGTATTTAGTAATTTTCACCAATTAAATGGTTGTTTTACTGGGTGGAGCATTCACCAACCTTCTTACACCTCCTTTCCAGATGCTTCCATTTGCTTCCTGTGTTGTAAATTAAGTTTTATTGGAACACAGCCATGTTCATTCATCAATATGTTGTCCTCAACTGCTTTCAGGCTCCAATGGCAGAGTTTAATAAGTAGCTGCAGGAGAAATCACATAGCTTGAAAAGCTCAAAATCGTCACTATCTGGAACTTTGCAGAAAGTTTGCTGAGGAATGACCACCACATTCTCTATTATCTATATGGAAAACAATATCACAGAATTGTTGTCATAATGAAGAGAGGTTTAAAGAGTGCACTCAGAATCGCAAGAAAAGTTGTCAGTTTTTAAAAATCATTGTTCTCTGTTTCAGGTTGTTTGTAGTAATTGTGTTTAAAAATTTTTAGATTGTGGGATTCTAAATCAACGATCTACTGTATACCTGATTTGGTATTTACAATTTTACAACCTTCTTAAAGTGGGCTCCCTAAATTGTATAAGCTTTCTCCCCCTTAGAAGACTGAGATCTGGGCTGGGATTGTGGCTCAGAGGTAGAATGCTAGCCTCACACGTGAGAGACCCTGGGTTCGATCCTCAGCACCACATAAAAATAAATAAACATTTTTAAAAAGTGAAATATGATTAAAAAAAACTTAAAAAAAGGAAGACTGAGATCCATGTGATTTAGATTTAAGTTGTGGAATTGTTTCCTATATGCCAGTGTTATGCTTTGATTTTTTTTCCCCTTAAATCTTATTTGTGTCTAGAATCATTGGTTTGATATGCTTGTTGTATGTTCACATAGACACACAGAAGGCATCTATCCTGGGGACATAGTGTGGAGCATAGTGTGGCTAAGAGGAAGAGTGGGCTTGACGTGGCACTGGAGGATGGTGGAAGACCAGGGCAGCAGGCAGGGAGTGCACTGGGGGCACCCAGCACCTCTCTGTGCATCTTATTGCCACCCTTGGAGTGAGGCCTATCTTCTTGGAATGTCAGAAATTTTAGAGGTTAGTAGGGTCAGATCCCCTGAGCCTCCAGGGGCAGGCCCTGGGAAGACGTTATAGAGTGAGGAGAGTGGGGGTATCTGAACTGCTTTGGTGTGAGTCGTGGGCCAAGGGAGCAGCTTTCTGTCTTTCAGCATTGCTTTAAAGGACATTGCATCTGGCTGACACCTGACATCCTCAAACGGGACGGCAACTGGGGTGCCTGGACTCCATTCGGCTCCTGCTCTCGTACCTGTGGCACCGGTGTGAGGTTCAGGACTCGCCAGTGTGACAACCCACAGTGAGTTGGCCACAACATTCCCCCCGCCTTCCTGAGTGGCAGCTGAGGACTATGAAACCCCTCTATAGCCAGCTCTATTCTACAGGGCTCGGATGGCTGCCATCTGCCAGTTCTGGAGGGAGTGCAAGAGCAAGCTCTCCTGGCCCCTCCTCCCATTACCTGGGAGGGAGCTGAGACTCAGAGGAGGGCTCATTCCCCTTCTCCACCTGGGCCTGAAAACCTGGTTTCCTGACCTGCTGGACTAGGGCCACACACCTCCTGACCTATAATCCACTCTGAACACAGGCTTCCTCTGTCTTTTGTGATACATGGAGGAGAGAAGATGGGACAGAGATGGGGAGAGATAAAAGGTCTCCACAGAGGGGAGCTCTCTCAGCCCTTCAGAATGCTAGGAATCTGGGCAGGGGCTTCCTTAGCTGAGCAACTATTTGAAATCAGGGGAGAGGCAGGGTCAAGACTTGTCATCCATACCCCGGTACCCAGGGGAAGGACAGCCTTCAGAGGCTGCCTGGTGCAAGCCAGATTCCCCACCATCAACCATGCTCCCCTTCTCCCTTCCTCATCCCCTATGCTGTCCTGGGACCACTCATTCCCTCCCACCCCACCCTGCAAATACTTCTCTGATCCACACTCAGGGCTCACAATCACCTTCTATTCAGTTCATTCCTCCTCTGAATTATTGTTTCCCCTCCTCATCTGAATTCTTTGCCTGGACTCTCTCAGTGAAGTATCCTCAGGGAGGGAGAGGGAAAGAGAGGGAGGGAGAGGGAGGGAGGGCTGTGGGTGCACAGTCAATAACTGCACCAGGGCCTAGCATGTAGGGAGTCTTCCACAAACATTCGCAATACTCAGATCTTCCACACAACCAGCAAGGGAGCCTTACCCTGCTAGGACCTGAGTCTGCTTGGACACACAATATGGCTTTTGTCTTTCTTCTTTTGATCTGTCCAGTGTTTCAATGATTTTGATTTACCTGAAAATATTGAAAATCTGGAATTTCACGTAAAAACATAAACAGATCTCCAACTTCTGAATTGGGCCAGATACAATCTAGTGATAGCTTTTTGGGCACATCCAGACCATCTGGGCTCTGGCCTCTGCTGAATTTCCCACGTTCTCTGCTACACTGTCTCTGGCCAGCCCCTGAACTAGCCTCCAGGGAACCAGAGGGGGTCAGCACTCAACAGCTGTTGGGTGAAGGATGTGGTCAAGTCTATCAGCCAAGTAGGGGCAGAGGAAGGACCTATGCTCTAGGGTCCAGTAGGGGTACAACCATTATTTTAAAAAGACCTGTGTTTGTTTGTCTCAGCAGTGCATGGAATGCTCCCCTCCTCCCCTTCTGACCACCCTCCTGCCCAAGAGCTCCGAATGGCATCCAGGCTAAGAGCAGAGGCAGGCCCCTCCTTCCATCCCCCTGGGGACTTTCACACTTGCCTCAGAAAGAGATTTAGATTTAAGCTGGGAGTTAGAACCACCAGAGAGACAGTTAGTGGGTTGGTCCTCTTCTTTGTGAAATGAGAAAGTTACAGAAGGGCAGCCCAAATTCCCTAAGGTGGAGAAAAAGCAGCCATGACAAAGTGTCCATCATGTGCCACACATTTGTTAAGAACTTAAGCATGTGGGATTCTCCTATTTCAGAATTACTCTGGGATTTCCCCACTGCATGTCAGGCACAGCCCTGTGAGCCAAGAGCCCAGCTGTAAAAAAAACAATCAATCAATTCTTGTCATCTCGGGGCCTGTGGTCCCATGGGGAAGGCAAACTCTAAACACTCCATCACAACTCCATGTTCGTTTTCAATCCCAGGCCTCCCCCTGCCCCATACTGCATGTGTGGGGTGGGGGTGGGGCACAGGGAAGTTGCTGTCTTCCCAGGGGAACTCCAGAAGAAGGGACATCACCAGGCTCCTTCTTGATTCTCTGAGGCCTGGTTAGCTGGGAATTGCCTGGTCCTACAGCTTGGACATGGCAGAGCCAGGTCCCTTCACAAAGCAGAGCTGTACCTCTAATACCTGAAGCTCAAGGATCTTCCTAAAAATCCCACCCAAGGGCCAGCCTCTTTCTGATGGCACCAAGCAGCTGGACTTATGCTTTCTCCTCCAGCCCAGCCAATGGGGGACGTACCTGCTCTGGCCTAGCCTATGACTTCCAGCTCTGCGGCACCCAAGACTGCCCTGACTCCCTGGCTGACTTCCGGGAGGAGCAGTGCCGACAGTGGGACCTGTACTTTGAGCACGGAGACGGCCAGCACCATTGGCTGCCCCATGAACACCGGGATGGTGAGCCCTTCACAGGAGGATGGCAGTAAGGGTCAGCACACAGGCCCTAGGGAGGGCAGGCAGGGCCTTGCATTGTCCTGTGCCTCTGATAATGTATGGGGCAAGAGTGTGGTGGTGATACTTAGACTGGCAGCAAAGCCCACCCCCGACTGGCTCTGCTGTCAGGTGCCCCGTCCTGGGGTGGGTCTCAGGCTTGGTGTCTGGACTGCAGTCTCAGAGGAGCCAGAATACTGGGCATGGCCAAGAATGCTAAGGAGAGCCCGAGGACCTGGCACCTCCGAGCAGGCTGGGCTCCTGCAGTTGCCATCTGGTGGATGAGGATGGAGTGGCAGGATTAGAAAGGTTAAGGGATGGGGGTGGGGGGTTGACCTTACCAAGCAACTGGCCTCTGACCTTCTCTGAGCCCCTGCTATGTGTCCCACCTGTGTCTGAGGGAGGCTGAGGGAGGGCAATGAAGCTAGTGTCCCTCTCTCAGAAGGATGCACTCTGGTGACCTAGAGTTTTATTTACTCTGAATAAATGCTGAGCAGAGAAGGTGCCAGGGATCCCTAGTTGAATCCAAAAGGGGCTGCTCCTGTTTGGGCCCTCAGGGAAGGTTGACTGAAGGAGGCTTTTTAGATGGAAACTCAGTAAGCAGCCTTTTGCTGCACAGTAAGAAGTCTCTGGGTGGGACCTTTGGCGTGTGAGATCTAAGCTATACCAACAGCCCAACTGGCTCCATTTGGGGAAAAAGCTCTTTCTAAGTCCAGTTGAACCAGGGTCAAAGGCTCAGAAGACATAGAGATAGGAAGCAAGTTGCCATCACCTGACCCTTTCCCTCTGTGTCCACCTTGGAGACTGTGGAGGGGCAGATGAACCTCCTAAGCACAGCTCCATGGAAGTTTCTTCTTGCACTGTCCCTTCTCTTGCACTGACTCCTTGCTGCTTCCCTTCCAGCCAAGGAGAGATGCAACCTCTACTGTGAGTCCAAGGAGACTGGGGAGGTGGTGTCCATGAAACGCATGGTGCACGACGGGACACGCTGCTCCTACAAGGACGCCTTCAGCCTCTGTGTGCGTGGGGACTGTAAGGTGAGTGCCATGAAGCCGGCCAGTGCTGGCCACAGCTCAGGGTCTCAACTTCCTGGGTACCAGCTTCCACTTCTTGAGAAGATTAATAAAATGTAGGAAACAGTGCTGCAGGCCAATATGTTTTTCCCTTTTCTTCTATTGGGGGGGGGGTCTCAGCCTTGAGTATGTCAGGCATTTATCTGGGGAGCTTGGAGATGCCACCCAAGAGTCAAAGGGGGTGGCCTGGGAGCCTGAATTTTTATGAGCTTCCAGGAGATTTCAATGTACAAAATCCATAGTTGACCCTTTGTGAATCATACCCCACTCCTGCTGTCCATGGGGCACTGGACAGCCTGTCCTTGGATCAGGATACCCACCATAGGTCTCACTGGTTTGGTGCTTGGCAGAAATAGTTGTTTCTTGGCATATGATAAGCCATTGTGTGTTGAAAAATGTTATGGTCAAAAATGCCTTGGATCTATCTGAACATCAGCACTTGCAACACAGGACACTGTGGAATATCAGCTATTTCTACTTATGATCATGTGACTGACTGGGAGCTGCAACTTGCTGCCAACTGTCCAACATCCTGAGAAAGGGATATATCCTCATTTAGCCCAGGAAAAGATCAAAATTCAAAATGGGAAGTACAGGTCCTAATGAATACATACAGCTTTCACACCATTGTAAAGCTGAAAAAAAATCAGTCAAACCATCGTAAATTGGGGACCATCTGTACATCCTTGGCTTCTATCCTACGCTATCATAAAAAACAACCATGGGTAACCTCAGCATGTGGCGGTGACATGAGCACAGACTTGACCTGCCAGACATTTCTGGAAAGAGCTGGAAACTTCTGCTGGAGTTCAAGTGGACAGGACTGATCAGGGTTGTCACAGAGGCTGGCTCTTTTCTTTCCTTCCTGAGAAATGGCAGCATCCTCAGGTGTTGTCTGGCAGGGAGGCTGACAGGTTCTGCAGGCAGCCCCAGAGCAGGGCTGGAGGAACAAAGAAGTGGGCACAGGGCATCTGGCAGCGTGCTCAAGGGCTGCTTTCCATTCGTATGGTTTCAGAGGGCCCACAGGTGGCAGGACCAGGAGGAGGCTGGTTGCACAAGAGAATTGCAGGGATGCTGAGCCACACAGCCGGCTCAGGGATAGTGAAACCAAACACTCAGAGACTAACACAAGCTGGTTCTCCTTTGTACCCACAAGGCTTTAATTTATGGAAGATCTGAATGACAAAATGGAGAGGCCAGTGCCATTGAGAGAATTTATAACTTATATTTTCCTAGAGAAGGGCATGGCATGCTACCTAAGGCCACCCGTGGAAGTAGCAAATTTGGTCAGGAGGCAGAAGCAAAGTCAGGGGACTTTCTTGGGAAAAGGCAAAGCAAAGCAAACAGCTTAGGGTTGGTTTCCTTGAATAATTCCCAAAAGGCTGGGAGCTATAGGTCTGGTCTCTCGTTGTTTGGTACCTGACTGGAGGATGACCTAGACCAGAGGAAATTTTGGCTTACTGTGAGAGAGTCAGATAAAGGGGGCAATTGGGGTGGAGACTTGGATATTTGTTGGTTTGCATATGAAAAATGTATTCCCAGCTAAGCCTTTTGGTTTATCCACGGATTGGCTGGTGTCCAGCCAGGAAGATTGTTAAGATGTTAAACATCATAAGATACAGCAAAAAAAAAAAAAAAAAAAAAAACGTAAAAGTAAACATAATTAATGCAGACAATCACTAGTAGTAGAAATAGCTTTAAATAGCAACTGTGAATAAGATTGCTAACTTAATTGGGAGAGGTCAGAGCACCAATCAGTATCTTATTGGGCATGGCTGTAACTTCACTCCTAATAGGTATAGTTAAAGAAGAATAGATTAAATATCTTATTTATTAATGATTATTTTGACAGATAAAAGCAGGTTGCTAGAGACAGAAAGGAAATGGGAAGTAATGAGGTGAAATGTATCAGTCCGGACAATACATGTGGATGTGAAATTCTCTTTTAGAAGAATCTAACAGAAAAATACACACACATAATATCCAAGTGGATGCTGTCAATCAGAGAATATCAAAATACAATGAATGACTCAGGAAGATTACAAGCAAAGATATTGCAGAAGAACAAAGTCGTGCAACGTGGGCTGGGGTTGTTGCTCAGTGGGAGAGCACTTGCCTAGCATAGGTGAAGCACTGAGTTCGATCTTCAGCACCACATTAAAAAAATACATAAGACATAAAGTTTAAATTTAAAAAAAAAAAAGATGTGCACACACATAACACACACACAGAGCAGAGAATTGAAAGAGACCTGAGCATTACATGAGGCCAAGAGGGTCATTTGATTTTAAGCAGGGCACAATCCACTGCTTTGATAAAGTAATAACATGCCATCAAACATGTCATCTAAAAACAGTTATCAGCTTAGGTCTTGGAACTTTAGAAAATGAACAAGTAAATATTATTTGCTGACTTATTGATCATATTAAATCATAACTTACATAATGCAGAAGTAGAAAAGTTGAATATAATATATAAATTTTAATAAAAGAATGTGTATAATAGAACATATTTTATATTTGTTTTAAAAATATTTCTTCACTGCATGTAAAAGGGAGAAATTGAAATAAGCTTGCCTGTTTGCTGACTCTAGTAACCCACTGTTAAGATTGCATGACAGGAAGGGAGACTATCCTTACCTCATTAGCTATGCACCCCACCCTTTGCCATGGTACCCCACCATCACTGTCAACTGCTTGAATTGAAGCAGAACCTAAGCTGTCAGCCTCTTCTGATCATTGGTGACAGCGAGCAGCAGCCATGCAGAGCTTATCAGGAGTACGTGGCCAGCCCTGACCTGAGCTATCGTCTGCCCCATTATCCTCTTTAGAATCTAAATGAGATCACAGGCTAATAGAAGGAGCCAAGCTTCATGGATTTCTCTATGTGATTAAAGTATTAGTATCACGGCACCCCTTAGTTCAGATACAGAACATTGGATAGTGTCTCTTGATTATCAGGTACTCACCAAAGATAATTGGTTCACTAGCCAGAGCAGTTCTTGCCTGGGCATTGATGGATGAGTTGGGCCACCTGAGATGAACCAAACCAGCCTCTTCAAACTAGCATGTCTTCATCTGTTTTCTGTTGCAATAACAAAATAGTAGAGGCTGGATAATGTATAAAGGAAAAGGGTTTATTTAGTTCACAGTTTTAGAGGACGGAAATCTAAGATGAGGCAGTCCTATTGGCAAAAATTTGGACTCTGAGAGACTCCCCTGGGCTGGGTCACAACATTAAGAGAAGCATAAAGAAAAACCACCAAGGGCAAAAGACAGCAACCACATGAAGTGACCTGACTTTACAATCGGCTCTCAGGAGAACTAACTCAGTCTGCAAGACCAGCATATTCCCTTCCAAGAGCAACGCCCCCATGGCTTGACTACCTTCCACTAGACCCCACCTCTTAAAGGAACCACAGCCTTAATACTGTCACACTGGGGACCAAGCTTCTTGCCCAGGACTTTCTGGGGAAAACATTCAAACTACATCCAAACCATAGAATGGCAGTTGTCCAGACACCAGAATTCCTCTAGGTGGCAGGCAAGGTTCTGACTTTAATTAGACATCTTGATTTCACAAATAAGATGAAAAAAAAAATGTGTCTTAGAATTGAGGGGAAATGCTGACAAATCACTTTCTTAAAGTTCTTCTGGATGAAGCAGTTCTTTTACTCCATTTTCCTTTTGCTCGCCTTTTGACACTCAGAACAAAATCTCAGAGCAGCTGTTTTGAAACACAGCATGTGGCTTTGTTTTCGTCACTGTCTGGATAGCCTCTTCTTTTCCAACCAGTTCAATTCATATTTAGCATCTTTGGCTTAAACAAGCTCCAAAAATGAAAGCCCCTTTATAGAAAGAGCCCATGAATCAACAGAGAGCTCTTAAATTAGAGTTGATATCCAGGGCTAAATAAATCCTGTCTCTAAATAAAATATAAAAGGGGCTGGGGATGTTGCTCAGTGGTTAAGCACTCCTGGGTTCAATCCCCAGCACCTGCCCCCCGCCAAAAAAAGCAGTGCTTTTTTCAGTCCCCATTTATTACCTCCCTTTGGTAAAAATTGTTTTCTCAGGAACCATTTAAATAAACATGAGTATGTTCCTCTTTATTGTTTTGCACTCTGCTCACTTCAAAAAAATGAGTCAGAAGCTTACAAAATACAGATGATTAAAATACAGATTCCTCTCCTCAAGGAGTTATCCCACTCCTCCAAAGGATTTAAAATCCACATACTACAGTGACATGGCCACATCAATGCTTACAGCAGCTCAATTCACAATAGCTAAGCTATGGAACCAACACATCTGCCCTTCCACAGATGAATAGACAGAGAAAATGTGTATACATACACAATGTAATGTATTAGTCATAAAGAATGACATTATGGCATTTGCCTGTGAATGGGTGGATCTGGAGCCTATTGTGCTAAGTGGCTTATTTCAAGCCGGTCCCAAAAAACAAAATTCAGATGTCTTCTCTGATATGTGGATGCTAACTCACAATGGGGTAGGGGGTAGGATAGAAGTTCATTGGATTACACAAAGGGAGAAAGGAGGGGGATAGGAATAGGAAAGACAGTAGAATAAGTCTGACATAACCTTCCTATGTACATATATGAATACACCACAGTGAATCTCACTGTCATGCACATCCACAAGACTTGGGTCCTAATTTGAATAAGATATATTTCATGCTTGTATAATTATATCAAAATGGACTCAAAATGTCATATATAACTAAAAAGAACCGATAAAATAAATAAATAGAAAAATACAGATGGATAAAAACAAAGATCATGAATTTCTATCTGCACATTCAAAAATGCTTTGTGAATCTCGGCTCTGTAGTCCTTTCATGGTCTTGAGCCCCTGCCCTCGAAGTTTCTTGTAAGACAAAAGTCAGAAATTAAAGAGCAGCTGGGGAGTAGCTCAGTGGTAGAATACTTGGCTAGCAAGGCCCTGGGTTTGATCCCCAGCACTGTAAAGAGAGAGGGTGGGGGGAGGAAGGAAGGAAGAGAGAAAAGCAAGGAGGGGAAAGGGTTGAGAAATCAAGAGCAAAGGGAAAAGAAGTAAGCGTCTCCAGAGGCAGAGGTAGAAAGTTCTCTCCAATAGGCATCTGTGGTCCAGGAATGGCATGCTGCCAGGGCTACAGCAATAAAAGAACCTGAATATTGTTATTGTCTCTGTCAGGAGGCCCTGGGCAAAGGAACAGCCCCACTCTGTGCAGAATAATTTATTTCCTGTATTTCCTGGAGTGATAGTGTGGAAAGGATTCATTGAGAGAATGAAGGCAAAAGTGTCCCCACCAACTCTTGCCACCCCTTCCCAGACACTTGAAGACAGACTGAAGAGGGCATTTCATTCTTCCTGAACTGAAGAAAGGCAGGACATCCAGGCCACAGCTTTGGGTGGCATCCCCCGAGGGGCTTCCTCTGGGAGATGAGCTGCAGGGATACTCTGGAGAAAGGGCAGCATAGAGGGGCCAAGGTGAGGCCTTCCATCTGTGGCCACAAGGATGGAAGCACTCACTGGAGGCCAGTTGTGCTGGGCCAGGAAAGTGTTGGGCTGTGGGACAGAATTCTGCAGGTCCCACCTTCCACATGCAGGAACTGAGGCACAGCATGGGCAAGGAATTCACCCACAGCCACACAGGGTCTGTCTTGCTCTAAAGCGTGACTTTGGGAACTGCTAAGAAGGGATGCACAGAACATGGGCAATGGGAGGGCTCAGGCATCAGAGGCCTGGCAGGTACAGGGTCAGGGTCAGGCCAGGGCCCATATATGGAGGGGGTATCTGAAGTGTTCTCTGCCTTCCTCTTCCCCTGCAGAAGGTGGGCTGTGATGGGGTGATTGGCTCCAGCAAGCAAGAGGACAAGTGTGGCGTGTGTGGAGGTGACAACACTCACTGCAAAGTGGTCAAGGGTACTTTTACACGCTCACCCAAAAAGCAAGGTGAGTGAGCTCCACCCTCCGCCCCTGAGGCTGATTGTCTACAGCACCTCTGAGTACCAGTGGGGCTCTGTCACTTTGGGGCTCTATCTGGCATTACCCCAGGGATGGATTCCCACCTGAGTTTTCTGTAGGGGAGGAAGGCTGGGAGGGTATTTGGGATTTGAAGATCAGCAGAAAGTCTGAGGCCCTGGACTCTGGCCTGGACCAGACCCAGTAGTTTTCCAGTTGGCCCCTCTCTGGGTGGGGGCCCAAGCCCAGGAAATACAGAGCCACAGAAGAGTCCATGATGGAGCTGCCTTCAAGGGTGATGCCTCTTCCTTTCTCATGTGGTATTGTATTCCCACGCCCACAGGTTACATCAAGATGTTTGAGATCCCTCCCGGGGCCAGACACCTACTCATCCAAGAGGCAGACAGCACTGAGCACCATCTGGGTGAGTCTCAGAGCCCGGATGACTTGGCGTCTCCAAGACCTGGCTTTTCTGGGAGGGTAGTTGCCATGGCTGAGACACCTGGCTTCTGTGAGGTGGGCAACCCTGGCTGGCAGGTGTGACTGCAGCCCCAATTCACCAGTTCCTGGTGCAGCCCACCTGGAAGCCTTTCCTGGGCTCCTCTCCCTGTGGAGAGGCCAGAGTTTGGGACCAGAGGGCTTCCCCTGGCAGCAGCTGTGGAGGGTACGGCAGTGTATATCCAAGACACCAGAGAACACCAAAGTCAGCTATAAATGGGATCATGCAGTGTATTTACATCCATTCAATTCATTTTTTTTTTGTTGTTGTTTGTTACTGGGAGTTGAGGCCTTGCACATGTTAACCATACACTGAGCTATATCTTTAGGCCTTTACTTTTAAATTTAAGAGTTTTTACCTAAAAATAGGGATTTCTAGCATATCTTGAAATTTCGGATGATCTCCCAACCCTGGGTCTCTTCCCTCATGGCAGCCCCAGCCTGCAAGATGGTGCTCTCGCACCATCTCCCAAGATGCCCAGGACCCTCTCAGGGGTTCACCCATCTGTACCCATCACCTCCCCAGGACTTCCTGGGCCCTACCTCCTGGGGTATCATGGGACCAAAGGCAGCAGGGTTTCCAGGACCACTGAGGGGCCCTGGACAAGTCCATTCTCCAATCTGGGTCCCACCTTCATCCCTGTCCCCTGGAGGCATCCACACTGCCACAGTCAGGCACCCCACTGATACATGACAAACCTGCCACTCTCTTTTAACACTCATTTTTCCTTCTAATTTATCTTAAGAGGAAACTTTAAGTCACTATCCTAAATGCAGAACCAGTACAGTTTGCCTTAAACAGACGGTAAACATTAAGGTCATTTCCTAAACGAAAGACGCTTTTGTCCCAACACTGTTTCTCACTGGTCTCTGAGGCTGAGACCCACTATCTCTTTGTAAAGGGGAGCAGATGATAGAAGATAAAGACCCGCCCGCCCCACATTGAGGCTTTCTTAGCAATGTGGGCAGAATTAAAGGGGACTTGCATAGGAAGTTCTTTTCTCACTGGTGCCCTGTCTGAAGTCCCTCCAAAACCCCTCAGCACCCTCCCCAATGACTACCTTTTACACTGAAGGAAGTGTGAGGCTTTCTTACCAGCCAAGTTTATCCTAGAGTGGTCTGTGGATGGCCCGTGGTCTGAGTAGCCCATCCCAGTTGGACCAGGCCTCTTGGGGAATGCTGGGAGCTGGTGAGACCTTGACGGGACCTCAGTTAACTGATGGTGTGGGGGAAGGGGGGATGCTGTTTTTCCAGCTGGACGTATGCTCACTGCCATGGCAGGAAACCACCACAGCCTCCACCCATACCTACATCCTCATGTTCAGCAGATACCTCACCCGGTAGAGATGTCTCTCTGCCAGCCTGCCTTTGAGGCCTCTGTGTTAGTTAGTCTCATATCACTATAACAAAATACCTGAGGCAACTAACTTATAAAGATAAAAGGTTTATTTAGCTCCAGGTTTGGGAGGTTCAAAGGCATGGCACATGCATTGATTCTGTTCTAGTGAATGGTAGATAGCAGCATATCATAGTGGGAGTGCATGTAGGAGCAAAAAGCATCTTGAATTGGAGCAGAGCGGGTGGGGCAGCCAGAATCCCATAATTCCTTTCAAAGGCATGACCCAATGATCTGAGGACCTTTCATAGCCCCCGTCTCCCAATAATGCCATGTTGGGGACCAAGCCTGGGAGACATTCAACATCCAAACTCTAGCAGCCTCTTAGTGCTATGGAGTGCTCTGATAGGTTGCAGGAGGTGACTTTGACAGCTGCAGAACCCCTTCCAATGGGAACCCATGAGCCTTTAGTCAGGGCAGATCCAGAAAGGGTGCTGGGCTGGTCAAAAGAATTCATGTGGAGGGAAACCCATTCATCACTGTCCCCAAGGGCAGGGTATGGCTCCCAAAGCAATTTGGGCTGTCCATGGCACAGAGCGATCAGGGACCCTGCTCCCCAGAACCCACCTCCCCCACAAAGCAGCATGGTGGGCCTGGGCCCCACCTGACGTGACCATGGTGGGTTGGGGGGCTCCCTTTTGCCATTCTCAGCCGTCAAGAATGTGGAAACCGGCAAGTTCGTATTAAATGAAGAGAACCACCTGGACCCCAATTCCAGATCCTTCATTGCCATGGGCGTGGAGTGGGAGTACAGGGACGAGGATGGCAGGGAGACGCTGCAGACCATGGGCCCCCTCCACGGGACCATCGCTGTGCTGGTGAGTTGAGGCACAACAGGGTCCGCTGCCTCCTGCTGCCCAGGCAGGGTGCAGCGTTCCCTAGGGGAAGGTGGTGAAGGGGCCTTGGGAGCCCCGAGCCTCCCTGCATCCTTCAGGCCACACTCTGAACAGCCCGTGTGGCCCTCCAGGGCAGCTCTGAGTCTCTGAATCAGAGCCAGAAATAGACATGGGGCCAAGACTCAGGGCTCTGAACCCCAGGTCAGTGCCTTCTAAACAACTCTCCCCTCTAGGGATTTTGGTTTCTCTGGCAGAATGACATTCACAGCTATCATCCATTGTGCTCATTCATGCCCGCTGTCACATTAAAACCCTGCAACACCCTGAGAAGTGACAGTTGGAACTAGACCCGAGTCACATTGGACTTTGTCTTCAAGCAGGATTGGATCCCAGATACCTTGGGTCCAGGACCACGGACTGCTCCTATTATGGGGAGTCCTGAGGGGGATGGATTCTTGAATCATTTTTAGTTTTAATTCATTGCATAAGTGATACATTTTATTTTTCAAAAAATTCCAACAGTACAGATAAGCTTCCAGGGCTGTTGCTCACACCTCCCCTAAGAAGCATGCTGGGGGTGGGTCTAATCACCCAGCCCCCAGAGCTCCACACAAGGCTATGCACCTGTGGAGCAGGTGTCACCATGGGCCAGGTGTGCTTTATTCCACTGTACCACTCTGCTCACTTTGTCTGCAGCAACTTGACACTAATTAGAAATGCCTGTGGTGACCGATCTAGGTTGGTGTATATACAGTGGGTCCTCAGTAGTCACAGTTTCTGTATTTGCAAATTCACCTGCTCACTAAAATTTACTTGAGATTCCCAAATGGACCTTCACAGAGTGGTGAAAAATTTGAGTTGCCTGCATGCTTATTCCCAGATGGGGTGAAACTACTCCATGCTGTGTTCTTGTTTTAGCTCTCAGATTGTAAACAAGTCTCTTTTCTTTTTTTTGCAATCTATTATTGTCACATCTTTTGCATTTTTGTGCTTTTGGAAGGATGAGTTTGCTGTTTAAAATGGCTCTGAGCCTACTGCTGAAGTGCTGTCTACTGTCTGTAAGCTCTGAAGGGTATAATGGAGAAAAGACGTGTGTTAGAGGAGCTCCATCTGGGCCTGAGTTACAGTGCTCCTGGCTTTGAGGTCGATGTTAACGAATCAACGATATATATTATTGTTTTTAACATAAACAAACATAAAACAAGTTTATGTATTGATTTGTTGATAAAAATGTTATGACCAGGGCTCACAGGATCCTAACCCTGTGCATCTAGGTGGGCTTTGACTTATGGTGGAGTCACATCCCCATAAACCCAACCTAAGTTGAAAATATCATAATATAAGAATACATCAGCCTAACCTGTGATCTGTCCTGGCTCAGCAACACAGTACACTATACGGTGTCAGTTGTTCATCATGGGGCTGCAGGAGCTGTGGCTCATTCCCACCCACCATCATGAAAGAGGATGGGACCATATCCTTAGCTCACAAAAAGATCCAAATTAAAAATTCAAAATATGGTTTCTCCTGAATGTGTATCACTTTTGCATCATCATCATCAAGTCGGAAAACCATAAGTTGGGATGTCTGTATTTTCTGTGGGGTGATGGCTCCATATTTGTGAATTCAGTGTTCACAGAGACTTGCTAGAACATAACTCCTGTGAATAACTGGAATCCACTGTAAATCTGCCTTGGACTCATGTTCCTCAACTGGCTCCTGAGGAAGGGTGAACAAAGGGACAGACACATTCATGGCCATTTTGGGGTGGGCACAGGTTATCCCAGAGGGAGATGCCCGGATCTCACTGACATACAAATACATGATCCATGAAGACTCACTCAACGTTGATGACAACAATGTCCTTGAAGATGACTCCGTGAGCCATGAGTGGGCCCTGAAGAAGTGGTCTCCCTGCTCCAAGCCCTGTGGCGGAGGTGAGGGATTTCTTATTAGGGCTTCTGGGATGAATGATAAGAGAGTGGCCATAAAGAGGTGAGGAATCATCCCTGGGCTGGGGCTCAGCATGAGCAGAAACAGAGGTCCTAGAGGATGTTGGGCTGGGGTGGAGAGAGGCTTCTGGGTGAGGGGCTTCCTGAACCAACAGTGAGTGGCCTGCTGACTGCTGGGCCTGGGGCAGTGAGTTTGGCATGTGCTAGGTATGAGAAGACTATTCCCAGAGACTGGGAGGCCATGGCAGTGACCTTTGCCTATCCCAGCCTGGAAGGGGTCCTTGGGTGTCCAGGAAGGAGGTGCTCGAGGCATCAGACCAAATTAGCCAGAAGGGCCTGGGGGTTCGGGTTCAGTGCAGAAGGGATGGGACTGGCCTGGTAAGAAGTTGACCTGTGGGTGGTCCGAATGGATCACACTGTAGCATCAATAGGGCAGGGCACAGATGAGCTGGGACAGTGCAGAGACACCCCTAGGAGGTCCCTCCCTCCCTCTCTCTATTCATTCAGAAAAGCCTCTCTGATTCCTGGAGCAGGGTTAGCTGCAGAAGAGTCCTACCTGTCCCTTGATGTCAAGTCGTCCACAGTTGGGTGGGACATTGGACACACAGACGGACAAAAGCCCTGCTCTGTCCAGAGTTGAGGACTGGGTGAACTATGAGACAGGACTGAGATGCCATGGGGTCCCACATCCAAAGGACAAGTTCGCCAAGGATCAGGGGGACCTCATCCTGGGTGGATGGTGCCGCAGCCTTCTGTCGTACCCCATTTCCACACTCCCCCTGGATTCCACCAGCATGTCCTGCTGATTCTCCACTCTATAGCTCTTGGACCCTTCTACTGTTCCTTCTTCCCAACCATCCCCTAGTCCTGGCACCATCCTTATACTGGCCCTTGAGGATCCATTTTAGGTCCCAGGTTGACCTCTTAAAGGGTAAATCAGATCATGTTCCTTCCAGGTGTCATAACAGCCATCTCTGTTCTTGAGGATTGAATATCAAAATTCTCCTTATGGCTTCTGAGGTCATGACAGTTTGCTGACCTTTCCCTCTACTTTGGTGTCTCTCTCCTTGCTCCTTAGGCTAGCCTTGAATGTAGTACTAGTCAGTTTTCTGTTACTGTATCAAAATACCCAAGATAGTCAACTTATAAAGATAAAAGGTTTGTTTTAGCTCAGTTTTGGAGATTTCAGTACATAGTCACTTGGGCCTCTGGTGAGGCAGTACATTATAGCAGTAACACATGGTGGAGGATGCTGCTTACCATATGGTGGCCTGGAAGCAAAAGAGAGATAGGAAGAGACTGGATTCCCACTCTCCCTTTCAAGGGCCTGCCCCCCACCCCCCGCAACTTAACTTCCTTCCAAGGCCCCACTACTTCCCAATAGCACTACAGGCTGGGGATCAAATCTTTAATACCTGGAACTATGGGGAACTCCCAAACCATAGCAGGTGCTTTTCCTGGACGCACAATCCTCCCCTCCGGGCCTCTGCACAGGTTTCTCACCTTCCCCTCCACCACCTTTCCATAAATCAGGGCTTTCTGAGTCACCTGCAGACTCCCCAGTTAGGTTAGGCGGCTGGTTGTTGTTGTGTTCTCTCACATACACACTGAGCACTGTTGACCTTTTAGGCTTCATTCTCCACTGTGGGGATCAGCCTGTGGATGGTGGGCTGTTGAACAGCATCCCCAGCCTCTAGTCACTGATGCCAATAGCAACCCTACCCCGCAGCTGGGACAACTAAAAAACGTCCCAAGTATCGCCCTGGGGAAGAATATTACTGTCTTAATTAGCTTTTTGTAACCGAACAAGAACAACTTAGAGGAGAGAAAGTTTATTGGGGCTCATAGTTTCAGAGGTCTCAGTCCACAGATGGCTGACTCCATTGCTCTGGGCCCAGGGTGAAGCAGCACATCACAGGGAGAAGCCTCAGCAGAGGAAAGCTGCCGAGGATGTGTCCTTCCAGGGCATGCCCCCAGCGATGTCACCCACCTCCTCCAGCCACACCTCACCTGCCTAGAGTCACCACCCAGACAGCGCATCCAGACAACGATGGGATGACTAGGTTATAGTTCTCCATATCTAGTCATTTTACCTCTGAGCATTCCTGCATTAACAGGAGCTCTTGGGGATACTTCATATCCAAAGCATAACCATCACCCCCACTGAGAACTGTTGTATGGGACTGGTGGAAAGAGTCCTGTAGACCATGTGCCCCAGTGTTAACCAAGGCCCCTACGCACATTAGGTCAAGGAAGAAGTGACTAAGTGATGGAAGAGGAAACAGCCTTCTCTCTGCCTCCAAAAGCCAGGAGGGAACTAGGGAAGAAGCAGACAAGGGGAGAAGATGGCCTCTCTCCCTGCCCTGCCACCCTGCCTTGGCCTGGGGTGCTGAGTGGGCTCCTCCAGAGCTTCCTCCCAGCTCAGGTGCCCTGCCCTGTTATCCATATCATTTTAAGAGTAGGGAAGAGAACAGGGCTGGCACTGCTACTGGAAGCCACTCCTCCAAGCCCCCTTGGGGGGCCCTAAGGCTCCGTTGAGCCCCCTCAAGCTCTCTGTCTTCAGGGTCCCAGTTCACCAAGTATGGCTGCCGCAGGAAGCTGGACCACAAAATGGTGCACCGTGCCTTCTGCAACGCCCTGGCGAAGCCCAAAGCCATCCGCCGAACTTGCAACCCACAGGAGTGCTCCCAGCCTGTGTGAGTGCCAGGAGGAGTCCCTCAGCCCAGTGTCCCATTCAAGGGGAAGAGACCAGAGGATATAGGTGCTCCTATGGGAGGGAAGAGTGGGATGCAGACCTCTTTACACCTGGCATCGCCCAAAGTCTCGGATGGGTTTCCCCTCACCCACCATGTCTCATGGAGCCTGAGGTGCTACAGGTTAAAAGGCGCACCCAGATCCAGATTGGCTGAACCAAAGCACTAATGCGTATCTTAAAAATGACAACCAGTGGTGGCGCTCAGGTGGGGAAAGTGAGGTTTACAGGGCCTAGGACTAGCTCCCGGTACCATAGCAGATGTTTCCTAAGCAGTAACTTCAATCTTCGGGCCCTGGGGTCTGGCAGGGCTGCGTTTCTTTACCATTTTGCAGGACCCTGAGCAGGGAAGATGCCTGGTAAACAGAGAGGTAGGGGATATCAGGGACGGGGTCCTGAGGGTCCACACCGCTGGGTTCATGACGACAGCAGAAAGGGAAGTCAGAGGGCAGATCCAAGAACCTGGGAAAGGACAGAAAGCTGGCAGTGCTCCTCAGCTAGGTCCCTACGTGGCCACCAACCCCAGGAAGGTGTCCCAGCCATGGGCATGCGTGGGATTATCAGATCCGTAGTTCCCTGTCTGTGCCAGCCTGTAGTGCGGCACCTTTGTGGGAATAGGAGTTTCCATCTGAGTCGGGGAGCAGGTTGCCTTTTCTCTGTCCTCACTTCCTCCTGGATGCTGAGGAGTGGCCCCACAGTTCAGCCAGGCTGGTTCTCCCGGGCTACAAAGGGACTGACCGTGTGCCGCTCTGCCCTGGCAGGTGGGTCACAGGAGAGTGGGAGCCTTGCAGTCACAGCTGTGGGCGCACGGGCATGCAGGTGCGCTCTGTGCGCTGCGTCCAGCCACTTCATGACAATACCACCCGCTCCGTGCACACCAAGCACTGCAGTGACAACCGGCCGGAGAGCCGCCGGGCCTGCAGTCGTGAGCTCTGCCCTGGTCGGTGGCGAGCTGGGCCTTGGTCCCAGGTAAGAAGTCCCCCTGGCTCCACACCCTTGGTCCCCAAACTGAGCTTGTTTGAACTTGAACCAGCCTGGGTATTCCGCTTTTGCATGTAGGCCTGGGTGTAGCTCTTGCCCTGGACCACATCTCATGGATTTCAGGGAGCTAGTGGGTGCCCCATGGCCAATGCCCTCCTGGTAAACACAGTGGGCTGTGTCTTTACTGCCCAGGCAGAGGCTCCTGGGTGCTGAGGGGATCTGTCCCAAGAAACTGAGGGCACCCTGGGCTCAAAGGTATAATGGGACGCTCTGGGTTCCAGTGACCTAAGAGAGCCCTGGGGTCTCATAGTGGAGGTGCCAGCCAAGAAGGCCAGCCACGATTGTCCAAGGGGAGATCATCAAGGAAGGGTCTGGACTTGTGATAGAAAGAATAATGAGAATGGACGGAAGGGATAGAGGGACAGATCTGGAAGTAGGGGCTGAGCACCAGCCAAGGCGAGGCCAAAGTGACATGAGCACTAACAGCCAGGTCATAGCCTAGTGTGTCAGAGGACCCCAAGACCACTCCTAAGCTGAGAGATCCACTAGAAGGATTCCCAGGCCTCAGAAGTTACACACACAGTTACGGTCACATTGAAAGGACACAGAGCAGAATCAACAAAGGGAAAAGGCACAGGAGTGAAGTCCAGAGGGAACTGGATACCAGCTTCCAGGTATCCCCACCCAACGGAGTCCCAAGAGATGCCCCTAATTCTCCAGCAATGATGTGTGTTACATGTGAAGGTTGCCAATCAGGGCTGCCCACCAGAGCCTGGGTGTCCAGGTTTCTCACTAGGGGGGGTCAACCACACGGGTATACAGTGCCTGAGTGATGGATCTCAGACCCAGAGAGAAAGCAGGTGTTCACCCTGAATCATCCTGTTGGTATGAACTACCTGGACAAGGTACATTGTGCCATCAGGCCTCAAGCATGCAAAAGCCCTGACATCAGAACCCGCCAGGAGCTTAGTTCCCAGGAGCTGAACCAGGGCCAGTCCTAAAAAAACAGGCCTGTCTTAGGAATGTGCTGGTTGAGCAATGCAGGTCTGCTGGGTCAGCCCTTTCCCACACTCATGATGAGGACTTGAGCCAGGCTAGGCTGAGTAGGCAGGCATGCCAGGAGTTTGCACCTGGCAGTGACTGCACCACCCCAGTGTGACAAAGCAGAGGAGATGCCAAGGGCTGAAGGAGCCAGTGAGGGACTGGTGGTAGGGCCTTCTCTCCAGAGGAAATGGTTGAGGGAGGGTTCAGCCAAAACCTCCTGGGTTGAGACAGGTTTCCCAGTGGCCCCAGCCCAAAGCAGGTTCTCCTGGGCCTAGAGCTTCCACCAGCTAGAGAAGTATATTAGTCTGTTTTCCATTACTATAATGAAATACTTGAGGCTGGATACTTCATAAAGAAAAAGGGTTTATTTAGCTCATGGTTCTGGAGATTCAAGAGCCAGCATTGGCTTGGCTCTGATGAGGACCTCATCAGGCAGATGACACCATGTTGGGAACATAAGTGAGTGCTTACATGGAGAGTCAAGAAGTCAGGACCAGAGCGGGTGGGGCCAGTAATGACCTCCCCCTAGGCTTTACCTCTTCACCCAAAACCACCACACCACGAACCAAGCTGCCAACACATGAACCTTTGAGTGACTCACTCAAACCATCTCCAAACTATAGCAAGAAGGGATGATCTTACTGAGAACCCCGAAGTGCTGAGCCCTGCATACTCATGTTTTAACTCAAAATAGCTCAGAAAGACAAACACGTGCATCCTCTTTTTTATAACCCCAGGAGATAGGGCAGCCACTGCGGGTGGGACAAGGCAGCCTGTGACTGATGTTCTGCCCCCTGCCTCAGACCCCCTCCCATGTGTCATGGGTCACATGCTTTGGGAGCATGAGCTCCTCCAGCTCCTCAGCCCCAGGGCCCAGCAGGGGAGACGAATCCTGACCAGCAACTCTCCCGTTCGCAGTGCTCAGTGACCTGTGGCAATGGCACCCAGGAGCGGCCAGTGCTCTGCCGAACTGTGGATGACAGCTTTGGTATCTGCCTGGAGGAGCGGCCTGAGACAGCAAGGATATGCAGGCTTGGCCCCTGTCCTCGTAAGTCCTCTGCCAATGCTGGCCCCCAGCATGCAGCAGCGCAGGGCGAGGGGGGGTGAGGGCTTAGTCCAAGAAAATTCAGCACGTCTCTGAAACTGGATGGACTCAGCATCCGTGAACTTGAAGGAGAAGCTGAGCACTCCCCACTGGGGCTGGGACCTTCCTCGGGTAGGAAATTGGATTCATCTCACAATTCTCCTGGACCAGGCCCTGAGGTGGGCAGGGAGGTGGAGCCGACTCAGCCCACCCTGCCTTCAAGACACTCTCTGTTGGTCAGGCTGTGAACTCTAGTGACTACCACAGTAGGACTCAGGCAGCAAGGGGCCTATGTGGGTCGTGGGTGCTCTGTGCCTGTGTGTTTAAGGTGTGCCCATGGGAGCACAGGGTGCCTGCGTGCGTAGGGAGTTTCTGACACCTTGTTAGAAGAGGTAGCCCATATAAGTCGGAGCTGCCCGTTTGAGCAGGGTAGTCACATATGAGGTGCCTGTGTGGGAAGGGGTTGCCCTTTAAGAAGAAGAACAAGAACAGAGTCTGTATGTCTGTGCCTGGCTTAAGTGTGTCACTTCTCTGGGCCCCAGCAAAAGCTCAAGACTAGGCCCCTCTCACCGTGATTCCCTTCTGTAGAGGAGGGAATTCGTCAGGCATCAGGTTCGCGTGTCTGACAGCATCACCAGGATTCCTATTGCCACGGAGCTGCTCTGTCTTGGTGTTTTTCGAGCTCAGAGCTTAAATCATGGGTGGAGGAGCCTGGGGACTGGGTAGGGTGCATGGGATGGAAGAGCAGGGGTGACAGGGCCTGCCTGGGGGGGATAGTGAGAGATTGGGTACTACACAGGATGATCGGCAGGCAGAGAGGCAGGAAGTGGGACCAATCATCTTGGGGGAGAGCCTTGAATGGGACACAGAGGAGTGGGGCCCTCCCATTGCCCGTCTCCTGGAAGCCTGGGAGCTGAGCCACTTTGCTTGGGGTGGGAGGCGGGTGGGGGCCCCATCTGGTGCCCCAGCTGCCGCAGCCCCACTCTCTCTTCCTTCCAGGGAACATCTCTGATCCCTCCAAGAAGAGCTATGTGGTTCAGTGGCTGTCCCGCCCAGACCCCGACTCACCCACCCAGAAGATCTCGTCAAGTAACCGACCTGTTTATAACTCTGCCTCTGCCCTCCAGTGCATGCCCTGCGCCTTGTGGAGCTTGCCTTGGGCTCCCCTCCTCTCTTTCTATGGAAAGCTTCCCTGACTCTTGCTGAGTGCTCTCTGGGTTGAATCTGTTTTCTTCCGGGCCGTTGTGCTCGGCTTCTCCAGAGCTTGCACCACCTGGCTGCAAGCAAGGGCCGGCCTCGAGGAGGTGTGGCCTGGGGGCACTGGCCTCTTGTAGGGGGGCCGGGACCTGGTTGGCGATGGCTTGTAAAGGGGCAAAGATCTGTCGTGGTGCTGGAGGGACCAGAGGCCAAAGTTCGAATGTGACCACTTCGCCATGGTGACGGCCTCATGGGGCCACATCCCTCCAGGCTGAAGCTGCAGGTCAGAAGTTCAAAGGGAAGCCCGCCCCATCCCCTTTCAAATGCCGCCCACCATAGAGGCGAGGTCAGAGGGGTCTCTGGGGCATGTCTTTTTGCGTTGCCGTGCCGGGTGACCAGACCCCAAGTTTCTGGTGGTGTCAGGGGCTTCCCAGCTGCCACTGCTGTTGCTGCTGCTGCTCACCTTTTGCTGAGTGTGTCCTTCTGACTCGTGAAACTATGGCCTGCTTCCGTCCGGCCTTTGCATCCAACTTAACACGTCCCTTCACCCTGTCCCCTGTCCTCTCAGGGGTCTGGTCATACGGAGGAGGCAGGGAGATGTGTCCTTCAGTGAGACTTGGAGGACACACCAACACTTCCATTCTCTGTCCATTTGCTCCGATGGCCTTTTCTCATTGTGTGTATATGACCCCGTCCACAGGGTTGAGAGAGTGAGAAAGAGAGAGAGAGAGAGAGAGAGATTGTGATATGGATGTGCCTCACCTATCAGTGTGAACAACTACAGAATTACCTCAATTTTTATTGTTTTTTTTTTTTTTTTTTGGCTTAGAAAAACTATGTAGAAAATGCCTTAAAGTTGAAAGGTAACAGAATTGGCTGCTAACTCCAGCCTCAGAGGGGGGACAAGGTCCACACAGGAGGCAGGCTCTGAAGGTCTAGGGGGGAACTGGTCCAATTTACCCACCTTTTATGGAGGGTTAGTTTTCCAAATCCAGACAGCCTTGCTTCATCCGCTGAGCGATGTGCATTGAGACTCGGGCCACTCGCTCCATCCATCTCTGAGTAAAGGGGTCCTACTCTGATACCCACCTGGCCAGTCGGCGCTGACTGTTGTCATGGAGATCCCCCCAATGGGGCTCCAACAGCACGGCCTTACACACCTGGGCCCTTAGCCGTGACCAATGTAGCACTCCCACTGGCGTCCCACCAGCCCCACTCTTGTCCCCCAGCCACCTTCACCTGTTAATAATGCGTCCCTGCTGGACCTTGCAGCCAAGCCTCCTCCTCTGGCACTAATTACTGTTATGTAAATAATCAGTGTGTAACTGCATACTAATCCTCACGACTGTTAACTTCCAACTTTGACGAGGCAGTGTGAGTGATCTGTGTTACTGCGGAAGGTGCAATACGGTCCTGGGCATTGTGCTCTCTGTCTATATGCACTTTGGTTTATCAGGGATATTTTATTAGTGTTTTGTATGTATTTAATGACGTACTATATAGGTTCCATTGTTGTTGCTTTTCCGTCTTTTCTTTTTAATGAGACGTTAGTGTGTGCCAAAGTGACTGTGAAAATGATCTTTTATTCTTACTAATGATGGAAAGACCTCTTGTCATGCATCCCACAAATAAACTCAATAAAATATTCAGTAAAACTGGGTGCTTGGGTTTGGCAAGCTAACGACTCTTTCTCTTCACCTTCACGCGGGCCGCTGAGGAGCCTTGGGGCAGCGTCGTCCTGTAGCATTAGGTATCTAGTCGCTGATGCAAATGACTTCACTGCCTCTTTCCGCTGCCTAGTGTAGATGTGCAGAGCTTCACCTCCGCTAAGACAGATACCCAGGCATTTTCTGGCTTCACTCCACCACGATTTTGAGTTTGGAATCATTAGTGCTGAATGAGAACCTCAAGCTTCTCTGCTTGCTGTTGTTGTTGGTGTCCCAGTTAGGAAAAGGACCCCAAGTGACTTTCTCTGCTTCTCAGGATCAGAAACCATGGAGTGAGAATGCAGCGTCCAGGTCACTGCCCTGGCTTCTGGCACAGTCCTTAGCTTTGAGCTACCTGTTCATGGAGGGATGGCTGCCCCTCTGGCCCAAGTGGGGAACTAGGGTAGCCCCAGGAAAGTGGGTCAGGAGAGAAGGGCAGGGCAAGGCAGTGGTGGCTCTCTAGGCACCAGCCTGCTGACAGCCCCACGTGTGTGCATATGTGTATTCCGCCCTACCATCCCAAGTCTCCCGACACCTGCCCTCAGTGGCAGCAGGGCCTGTGTGTTCGCTCTTCTTGTTGACAGTGATCACGTGGTGGGTCAGGATTCAACAGAGACCCCCTGACTTGGGGGCCTGTGCTATTTTCTACAGGTGGGAATCCTCTCCTTCCTTTTCTGCACCAGAGAGGTATAAGAAAGCTCAGGAGATCATGAGAGAGAACACTCTGCATCGTGGAGATGGGCTTCAGGGCCCTCGGGACTCCATGGAGGTCACAGTACTGAGGCTGAGTTCAGCTGCCCAGATCCCTGGTCGTTAATCAAAGGTGCACCAGGGACAGTTGTGCATTCCACTCAGTCAGCCTCTCCAGCGCCCGGTCGGGGGAATACCTGGGGTGCCATGTACCGAAGGGATATCTGAGGCACATGGAGGGTGCTTGTGGCAGAGGGGAGAGTGCCACCTACTTTGGTAACTGTGTGCATGACTTTTAGCAATGCTGAAATGGGTGCATGAACCCAACACTTCTTTACTGAGAAAAAACAGAAAGAAATATTCTCCTAGCATTTCCCATTTCCTGGGAAATGATTTAGATGATGCATAGACATAGCCCATGTCCCCCATGAGTGGTCCCTTCCTAATTCTACTTGCTCTTTATGACAACCACGAGGAGAGAGTCTCACTTTTTATCTGTTTCAGCATCTTCCTCACACTAGCTTACATGCTCAGAGCTTTGCAGGGGATTAGCTCCAGAGAGACTAATGAATTCAAATTTGGCTTTAAAATTGACTTAAAAGAACTTACACATTTTCTTTGTGTTCATATTTAGAGTTACTTTTATTTACCACACTTGTCTTCCATGAAGGATAGTAGTATCAAGATTTCTCCTCAAATAAATCTTAGCTTTAAAAGGAGTTAAAGGAAACTACTGAGCAAATAGTAATCCAGGTGGTGTTCAGATACAGCCAAAATTGTGGGAGTGGCACACAGATGATGTAATTTGTGAAAAGTGTTTCCTCTCAATGGTTTATTATCCTTTGCTAGAAGCCAAAAGGTCAAGCTAGTGAATTGCTGTTGCAAATGGCAGAAGATAAGTATTAAAATACCAAAATTATTATCTTGGTGGAGATCCTTTACCTGTTAGCACCTCAGGACACTTCATTTAGTCCTTTGGAAGTATAATTTGTATCTCATTTATCTCAGAGGGCTTTTTGGTGATGCTACTTAAGAATACATAACCAGCCGGGCTCGGTAGCTCAAGCCTATAATCCCAGCACCTTGGGAGGCTGAGATAGGAGGATTGCAAGTTCAAAGATAGCCTCAGCAAAAACAAGGTGCTAAGCAACTCAGTGAGACCTGTCTCTAAATAAATTACAAAATAGGGCTGGGATGTGGCTCAGTGGGCAAGTGTCCCTGAGTTCAATTCCCAGGACCCACCCCCCCCAAAAAAAGAATACATAACTATGGTGTGCTTTCAGGAACGGTTAGTGATAATTACAATTATCCCTCAATATCCTCAGGGGACTGGTTTCAGGACCTCCATGGATCCTTCAATCCTTTATATAAAATGGCATAATATTCTCATATAACTTATACATAACCTCTATATATTTTAAATCATCTCTAGATTACCTACAATATCTAACACAATATTAATGTCATGTAAATAGTTGTTATACTGTATTGTTTAGGTCATAATGAAAAGGAAAAAAGTCCATGCATGTTCATTACATATTTTTTTCCAAATATTATTGATCCACAGATGGTTGAATCCAAGGATGCAGGACCTGCAAATGCAGAGGGTTGACTGTATTCTGAAAACCTTCTAGGCTGATACTAGCATATCTAAGCTCCTGCTCGGTAGCCTTTCCAATTACTTGTTCATTCGTTGACTTATTTTAATTTTTAATAACTGAGAGCAATGCATCTCACTGTTCAAAGGAAATGAGACACAGAAGTCCAACAAGGGAAGCAGGTGGAAGAGAGGTGTCCTGTGGAAGGGGAGCCCAGTACTCAGAACTATCTGTTTCTTCAGTGGACACGTTCTGAGCACTTTTTTGTGTCAAGTCCTGATCCAGGTATGCCCTTGATCAGGGTCAGCCAACTTTTTCTGCAAAGGGCCAGATAGTAAGTACAACACCAGAGCCTATAAGATCTCTCTCACTATTCAACTGTGCCATTGTAGCTGGAAAGCAGCTAAAGATACATGAATGGACATGGCTGTTATGTTTGTCAGCTGTCTATCACTGTGACAAAAGGCCTGAGGTAAACAAGGTTTAGTGTAGCTCATGGTTTCAGGGGTTCAGTTCACAGTCACTTGGCCCTCTTGCTTTGGGCTTGTGGTGGCACAACACATCATGGCAGGAGTACATGGAGGACTATTCACCTCATGGCAAATAGGAAGGAAAGAGCTAGGAAGGGCCTGGGGTCCCAGTATCCCTTCAAGTGTACACCCCCAGTGACCTCACTGCTTGTAGGCCCTGCTTCTTAAATGTTCCAACACTTCCCAATGGTGCCAGGCTGAGGACCAATCCTTTAGCACATGGGCCTTTCAGGGACATTCCAGATCCAGACCATAACACCTGTGTTCCAATAAAACTTTATTTAAAAAACCAGGAGGAGGCACAGATTTGGCCCATGGCAGCAATCTCTGTACCAGACCAACGTGATAGCGACTTTTCAGGGATCCCAGGCTGGTGAGGGAGACACGTAAGGTCATTGACATGACTACTCCCATTATTGTTCTCCATGTGAAGGAAAAGGCAAGGCAACAGGAGCTGAGGACCCCTCCCGGTCCCATCAGGTCCCAGCTCCTTCCCTTGTCAAAGCTTATGGAGGGAGAAAGTTTACATTCTGATATTTTTGTTTCGTTTTGTTTTTTGGGAGGACTGTTGTTGTTTTGGTACTGGGGATTGAACCCAGGGGTGCTTTATCATTGAGCTACACCCCCAGCCCTTTTCTATTTTTTATTTTGAGCAGGGCCTCACTAAATTGTTGAGGGCCTCACTAAATTGCTGAGGCTGGCCTTGAACTTGTGATCCTTCTGCCTCAGGCTCCCCCCGTCTCCAGGACAGCCACCTCTTTTTGAAAAATCTCCTTGTGTCCTGTTGTGGTGTAGATCTGGAATGTCTCCAAAAGCTCGTGTCCCCAGTGCAGCAAGGTTCAGAGTGGAGTTTCAGGCAATGATTGGATCATGAGGGCTCTGACCGCATCAGTGGATTAATCCATTTGATCAGTGGAGTAATCCAAATTGATGGATTAATTCATTGATAGTTGAATGGATACTGGGAAGTGAGACCTAGTTAGAGGAAGTAGGTCACTGGGAATGTGCCTTGGAAGGGTTTATCTTTTCTCTGGCCCCTTTCCCCCTCCCCCTCCTTCTCCCCCCCCCCCCCCCCCCCCCGCCCCCGCACCCTCCCTGCTTCACAGCTGCAATGAGCTGAGCAGATTTCCTCTGTCATACCTTCTTGCCCTGATGTTTCTGCCTTGGAGCCAGCCAACCATGGACTGAACCCTCTGGAACCATGAACCCAAATAATCTTCTCCTCCTCTGAGTTGTTATCGTCAGGTATTTGGATCATAGTGATGCAAAGCTGACTAACACATTTCCCCAGGAGAGCTCTGATCAGCAGTTTTCATACCATTCAATCCCAGTAGCTGCTGAGAGGGGAAGAGGAGGAGTGTGGTCAGGAAGGAAGCAGGTGGGTCTCTGTCCCCCTCCACTCCAACTGCAGATAGGACAGTTCTGATTCTATCTCTTTCATATACTGGGAATCTAAATTTTTTTGAGGAAAGCTTTCTACTGGTTTTAAAACCCTGAAAGCCACGTGCCAGGCCCTTCCATCTTGTTTCTGAATCCACTGGCCTTTCCTCCTCCATATCGTGAGCATGATTCTTGGTCTCAGCGTTAGGAAGACCTGGGCTTTTCCTGTAAGGCTGATGTGTTTTTATCTTCCGCATGTTGTGGAGCCTGCGGCCAATCAAGTTTCCTCCTTATTTGGGCCACTTAGAAGCTTGGGGCCACAGCTGGATGGATCAGTGGTGGTGACTGCCTCCATATGCTCTTCTTGCCTGTGACCTTGCTGAGTTAAAATCCCTTAGTTCTCTGTTTTGAACTTCCTCAATTAATTCATATTTATTCATACATGCATTCTTGGATTCACTGTGCTTGGCTTTGGGGCTGGAGGGGTGTCTAAATATAGCATGGGGCTCTATCCTTTGGGGCTTTCAGGATGATGAAAAAGTCAGTCACCTGATCTGACAAGGAAACATGAACCTCCCAACTGGGATGCAGTGCAAGGAAAGCATGGCACCATGAGACCACGGACTGGAGGATTTTACCTCCTAAGGGAGGTCAGGTAGTACCTGAGGAAGATGTGTTTCAGGTGGGCCTAAAGAATGAGAAGGAGAGCTAGAGGAGGAAGGGAGACATGGTATGTGCATAGGCCCTGTGGCCAGAGGGAGCACAGTGCAGAGTAGAAGTCTGAGGCCTGAATGAGGCTGGTAAGATGAGGGGGACATGTCTCTACCTTGAAAGTAATGAGGGACAGAGAAGAGAGTCCAAGCAGGGGGAAGGCATGGCCACATCTTCAGTGAGAAAACAGCATTTTTGACTGGAACAGGATAGTTAGATGCAAAGGCAGAAAGAATGGATACAGGAGGAAAGGAGGCTCTGACCTTGGTGCAGTCAAGAGGCAAGGCAGGGCATCGGGTGGAGGTAGAAGAGAGGAATGTGGACATGTTGAAGAGCATCTAGGAGGAAACACTGACGGACCTGGAGATGACTGAACTGGGGGAGATAAGGCAGCAGGGGACACCCAGGCATCGGGTTTATGTGCCTGGAAGACCATTCACTGAGGCAGGAGGTGCCAGTGGACGCATGAATTTGGGCTGGACATGTCAAGTCTCAGGCACCTTTGGGACCCACAGGGCATATGCAAGAGTTGGAAGCTCCAGGAGTTTGGTGTTAGCAGCTCAACAGCCTCTAAGGGGAAATTGCCGTGACCATGCAGAAGTAGGAGGACATCAGAACCCCTGGTCCTCAGTGGGAGGAGGCTCTGCTCAACTGTGATTGCAGGCAGTTTCAACAGGATAGGAGAGGCTCCAGGTGTAGACAGCATGGAATATCTATCAGGTGTTCCTTCCATCGGATGTCTGCTCTTTTTTCCTTCCATCCTTTCTTCCTGTTCCTCCTTCTCTAGGCCCTCCTCCCCCCATCTTCCTTCCTCCTTTCCATTTTTCCCTCCCTGCCTGACTTCATCCTCCTCTCTCCCTATTTTCCTTCTTTCCCTTCTCTCTCCTTCCCTTCTTCCTTCCTTGATTAAGAGAAGAGGTCAACTAGGGGGACAGAGAAGAAAGGTCTGGGTGGGAAGATCTGAAGTCACCACTAGAAAGTGGGGTGTGTTTGTGCAGGAACCACAGCAGGCAGCAGCGCTGAGCCCTGAGCTCAGTGGTCCTGGACTTACAGTGGGTCACGTGTCTTCTGTAACATGACTTGCTCCTTTATATGGAGTGAAGTCTGTAACTTTTCTCATTTTGTGTGTGTCGTGGAATGAGGTGGGGGGGAGAGGGAGGGTGAAATTTTGGGAAGAAGACAGAGTGAAGAGTGAGAAGAAAAATTATGAGGTTGAATGAACATGGCTACAGATGGGGCTGGAGGCAGGCCAGGGAGAGGACAGCCTTGCAGAAAGAGAGAGAGATAGCAGTGGCCTCTGAGTGCAGAGAGTCAGAGCTCTGCATGCAGCTGGACCATGAATGGTCAGCTTCCTGGGTGCAGAGGAAACAGGAGGACATGCTGGGCCTTATAAGAAGGCATCAAGTTTGTTTGGGAAATTGTTAGAAACTCAGTTGGAAGGGCCATAGGACAGACGCATCAGTGGCAGGATAAGATGCCTTTGGGTAAGTTGAGGCAGGTGAGAGTTAAAAATGCCCATACAAGTTTGAGTGCTTTTTTAAAAAAAATTTCTTTAGAGACTCTTTAGAAACATCTGGAGAGTTAGAGTCAGGATGGAACCACAGTGGAGCTTGGTGAAGCCACAGCTGAGACTCTGGGATTGGCGTATTAGGTTTCAGGAATTGGCTCTTTTAAGTTTGAATTTGTTATAGTTACTACTTGCAGATTATTCTAAAATCAAACCCTGCCACAAAACTCCACTGGGGTCACCACAGGGATGTCAGATGCGAAGATCCCAACAAAGGCCAGTTCTTTAAAGTTAAGCTTGGAATCACTCCCTAAGAATAAACAGGCCCCATTTCCATCTCAAACTTTGGAGAGACACTGAAAAATCCAGATTCAGCTGGGGGCCTGCTTGAAAGAGGGGAGCATCGCTCACAGCTTGTATGACATCACGCCAGGGCAGGGTCTCCAGATGCCACCTGCTCACCCTGACCCTGAAGCCACACAGACTTTCCGCGTGAGCTCCCTCACCTCTGTGCTATCTCTGGGCTCCCTCTTCCAGCAAGCTGCACACTGTAGGGGGGAACAGAGTCCCCCTCACCTTGTCCTTTGGTTATTTGTTCCACTTTTCTCTTTCAGAAGGCCACTGCCAAGGCGACAAGTCAATGTTCTGTAGGATGGAAGTCTTGTCTCGCTATTGTTCCATCCCAGGCTACAACAAACTCTGCTGCAAGTCCTGCAACCTACGGGACAACCTCACCGACACGGACGCTGGGGCAGAGCCGCCACCTGGGAAGCACAACGACATTGATGTGTTCATGCCTACCCTCCCAGGGCCCACCCTAGCAACAGGGGTGCAGCCGTCACCAGGTACTCCCTTGGGCGTTCCTCTCAATGTCTCCAGCACGAATGCCACTGAGGATCACCCAGAAACGAATGCTGTAGATGTACCCTACAAAATCCACGGCCTGGATGAAGAAGTCCAGCCCCCCAACCTCATCCCCCGACGACCGATCCCATATGAAAGGACCAGGAACCAAAGAATTCAGCAGCTCATTGACGCAATACGGAAGAAAGGGACACTCGGGAAGTTCTAATAAAATGGAAAGATAGCATCAGTAGCATTTTTTTTTTCTTGCTTATAGAGATATTCCATGGGATAACACATCCTATGTTTTGGAAATAAATGAAGCCCAAACCCCTGATTCCAAAAGGTTTTGAGAAAACCAAGAAGGGGAATGTTATAAAAATTACCTATATACAGGTGTGATCCTGAAGCAACCAGGTTAGCATGTGTTTTTGCCAGCCTAGGAATGACCTAAATCTCACAGTAGTGTGAGTGTGGCGTGGACAGGAAGTTAGAGGTTCTCCAACTTTCGTCAGTAGGGGGAGGCCAAGAGAGGGATAATTCAAAGTCAAAAAAACTTTTCCCCAAGTCTCTGAGCAGTAGTTCACCATCAACCTTTTCTTGGTGGAGCGGACATTTCCTATCAAACCCGAGACCAAAAGGCCCCATGGGGACTGGAGGAGAAATGGTGGTTTTATTTAATAACTGACCAGTTGCCCAGATGAGTACAGAAGTGGAGGTCATGAATTCAAATGCCCTCAAGGGCCAGGCAGGTGACAAGGATGAGTGTAGTGGCCAGTTGGGGACTGACTGTCACCTTGGTGCTGCCGCTGTGAAGTCTGTGTCTCTTTTCCACAAGCTCTTGTCTTGCCAGATAGTGTGTTATTTCAGAAGTCTAAATTTTCATGGAAAACCTCTCAATCTTTAAATGGTCTGGGAGTCTCTTAGGTTCTAGATGCACCAGGTTATAACGCCTGTTCTCCAGTCTTGGCCTGATACAGTTTTGATAATTAACTAAGGACCTAGGAAAAGTCATTTGATCCATTTGGTGCTCATATCTCAGCTGGCCTGTGCAGCTGTCTAGTTCTTTGTGGAAAAGTAAGGGGAATTTGATAACTGGGAGCCATGAGACGAAGACATTGGGAAAGTCTCTCCTCTCCACTAGGCCTGGCCTTACTTCTTTCCTGCCTCTAGGGGAGGAGCCCTTGTGTTCTTCTGGCCAGCCTGGCCTCAGTCCCCAGAGCCTTCCAGGGAGCCTCTGTCCCTCCCAAAGAGTATTAGAAGGACGGGGCAGCACATGCTTTGCTGGGTCAGTCCAGTGAGTGGTCTTGGCCCTGAATCTCCCAAGAATGCTGAAATGCTACCACCAGGGTGGTAAGATGTTGGGCTCCGAGGCTCAGGATCACTCCTGAAGACCAGCTTAGCTCTGGAGGGTGGGCTTTCCCTCATTAGCCCTGCCTCCTCCCCACTTCCCTCTCTTAGAAGTTCCAGAACCCAGCAGTGACCTCAAGATATGGCTTCTGATGGGAGGCGTGGGGAGAGGTGAGCAAAGCCTGCTTTGTCTTCTGCTCTTTCAAAATCTTAACTTCCGGTTTCTGGCAGAATGGTGCTTTGTGAGCAAGATGAGAATGAGAGGGAAACAGGAGGAAGGGAGTTGGGGTGGGTGGGAAGAAGGTGGTTAATCCTTACCTCTGGATGCATTGATATTATGTGAACATGCAGCTCTAAGGTCCCAAAATGACAAAACCTGGGGGCACACTAGCTCCTTAGCTGGGCCTAGGCTGACACATAATTGAGCTTTTTATGCCTAGGAAAGTTCTAGAGGCTTTGTGTTCTCACCATCATAGATCTTAGAGAACTCTTTCTTGTTGAACTCCCGTTATATGGGTGAGAATATTGAGGCTCAGGATAATTCCCTAATGGCTATTCTCCATTGGGTTTCCAAGGTGCTCAAGTGTGTTTGAATCTCTGTGTGTGTGAGTATGTTTGAGTGGATGGATTGAGAAACTAAGAATGTAGAGACCAGCTAGAATGGTATCTGGGACTATGCTTAATTTTCCACCTGGGTGGAAACCAGCTTTCCCACCTCCTGGCCCAGCCAACCTCCCCACCTCTGACGCCATTTCCCATGCATGCCCCTACACTGTCCTGTGTCCCTGTGTTTTTCAAAGAACCCAACTAGAGAAAACCTTTTTGGATATCTCTCTTGGCCTGTGGTTGAGAACACTTTTGCCATCCTGCCTCTCCATACATGGGGGATGGATCCCGTGGCTTGCCCTCATTTGTTGAACCCAGGGCAGCTGGTGCTATTCACGGGCTGAAGAATTGAGTGTTTCTTACATGGTTCTATACAGAATGTGGAGGAAGTTCAGGACTAATGCTAGCCAGAGAGTATTACTCAATTAATTACCCATACCTATTTTACAATTTGGAGGTCACATTTAGGTGAGCATACTCATTATAGTTGTTATTATGTGAAATGGGAATGCTGTATTCCCAGATACTACCAAAACAGGGCTTCCTAGAGGCCCCAGCTGGGACATTCCCTGGGTACCTGTCCTCTGCCCAAGATGCCGTCAGGGGACTGAAGTTCAGCCAGGCCATGGTCCCACATACCATCCTCAGTGCTTTGGGCTACACACCCACAGAGTTCTCTAGAGCTAGATGGTCCTTGGAAGTCTCTGTCCAAGGAACACAATCATTCACCAGGCTCTGAGAACTTGCAAATCTCTTCTGAGCATAGGAACACTTGGACACCCAGCTTAGAAAATAGTCCTGAGCTTTCCAAACCAGCATCTGCATCTAAGAGGTTCCTAGAGCCCCAAGGAGGCAGATGGATGTCTTCTAGCTGAGGTTTCTAATACCATGGTGACACTAAAACTGCTCACACCACCCAGAAAATCTCCCAAGGTACCCAAGAGTCATTTCCCAGTCTTGGGAAGACTCATACTAAGTTTTGGGGTTCTCTCTGATTTATTCCTTTTGGGATACCCATGGAATTTCATGTATAAGCCTTTCATTTGTATTTCAATATTTTTAAAATCTGTTTTGAGTATATAAATGGTGCTCACTATAGCAATGTCTTTGTCAGATGAAGCAGTATGATTCTATTTACTGATGTATGACAGGTAGCCATCATATGGAACCACCAAGGTGCTGAACTCAAATCTCAAAATCTTTATCTTACTGATAACAACCATCAATGCATTTTTGTTCTGTATAGTAAAATCTGATTCCTTACTTTTATAACTTATTAAAGTTAAAATGTCTGTGTTTTTGCAAATTATGACTGTGTTTGTTTGTTACCATGACTGCATTTGTCCCCTTTCATAGCCTAAACTCAAGCAGAAGGGAAGAATAGGTTAACTTTGCAAGCCCACTTTGGGGGAAGTCCCTTCCTTGAGTGGAACACTGAATTATGGGGCTCAAGTCAGGAACTTCTGGAGGAAAGAGGCACCCAGAAGAATGATTCTCTCTCCCAGGCCTCATGGAGTTGGAACTTAGCAGATCATGCCTTAGCCAAGAGCCCCCAAGTGACCCTTCATTACAATTCTCTCTGATGAAAAAAAATACCAGGCACTGCACAGAATATCCGAGAAGCAATGAACACTTTTGTAGTATGACATTGAGATATACTAAAAAATTATTTGTTGCTTTCCTGGAATTCAAATTTAATTGAGAGTTCTACATTTTCATTTGTAAAATTTGATCACCCAACCTATAATCAGTATTGTGTTTTTAAAGAAAATGTCATTCTCTCTGACCTTCTTGAATATTAGCACGTATTTTGGGAAGAAAGGGGTTGAGGGCAGAGATTTCTTTTAATATTACTTTTGTAAATATTCCACAGTGTTTAAAAAAATATGTAGTCATCAGTTGTGAGGTAAAACATACTATACATGCCCATTGTGTCAATTTTAAAATTTGTTATTCAAATACTTTGTACTTTGACAATATCTTCTTGTTCTATTAATTTGACAGAAAGTTTTAAAATAGCTCTCACCAATTGATTGTGGATTTTACTGTTTCTTCTACTTCTGTTGCAGTTTTATTGATTTTGTTTTTATAAAAACAAACTATTTTACAATTTGGGGGTCACATTTAGGTGAGCATACACATTTATAGTTGTTATTATCTTCTTGGTGACATCCTCCTTTTATCTTTATAAACTGACCAATTTCACTTCCAGAAGTCACGGTCTTGAAGCTTTTCCCTGGTGTTAGTGGAATACATCAGCTTTCCTAAGTTAGGGGTTGCATGATATGACTCCCACTCCTTTACTTTCAGATTTTCTATGTTCTATGTGTTCTATTTACACTTTGTAAATTATATCATTTTAATAATAATGTAGCATTTTAAATCTTTTAATTGGGCCATTTAGTTCATTACTTTTTTTTTTTTTTGTACCAGGGATTTAACCTGGGGGTGCTTTACCACTGATCCACAATCCCAGCCCTTTTTATTTTTACTTTTGAGACAGGGTCTCGCCAAATTGCTTAAGGCCTTGCTAAATTGCTGAAGCTGGTCTCAAACTTGTGTTCTTCTGCCTCAGCCTCTCAAGTTGCTGGGATTACAGGTGTGCGCCACCATACCTAGCCTAGTTCGTTCCATTTAATGCCACTACTGTGAGTCATTCCATATTCCCGCAATCACTGTCCTCATTGTACCTTCTGTGCTATTTTTCCTGACTTCTGTGTTCTTTCTCTTCTTCCTTGCCTTCTTTTGGGTTGGGTGCTTCTTTTTCCCATTCCATTTTGAATATCTGCTAGTTCAAAGATACTTGTTGCTTTTCTCTTATTATAATGAATGTTCAAGAAATTTCAACATGAGCTCTTGGTTTATCAAAATCTACCATTACTCTTCAATCAGCCCTTTTTCAAACTGCAAATTCTTAGAACACTGCTCTCAAACTATCAATTTTCATTTTATTGTGGACTAATAAAAAGGAAAGAATAGGCAAATGAAACAAAAAAGCAAAGGCATACAACATATACAGCCAATTTTAAAAATAGTTTTGAGGAATACTGACATACAAAAAAATTGTGTATAATTTTTCAAGTCTTGAAATATGTAATAAATGGTGGGAAACCATCACCACAATCAAGATAGAGAACAGCAGTGCGCGGTGGCACATGCCTATAATCCCAGTGGCTCAGCAGGCTGACACAGGAGGATTGCGAGTTCATAGCCAGCCTCAGCAACAGCAAGGCACTAGGCAACTCAATGAGACCCTGGTATCTAATAAAATACAAAATAGGGCTGGG